GCACGCCCGCCGAGTTGGTGAATGGCGTTGAAGATGAACCTCTTGCTGTAGTCAATCTTGCAAAGGAAGTTTCGTCCACGGGGGTGGCATCTGAATGCCGCATTGATCGGCTGCAAACACCCGAGAATGAATACTATAATGCCAACGTACGCATGGGCGAAGTCGAAACGGCCGCCAGTGTAAAAGGAGGCGATGAACCCAACAATACTGAAGACTATTCCGATGCTTTGAAGAGCGAGATGAACTGGCCAGGCAAACTTTTTGTGCCGGAAGAATCGGAAAATGAAAGCACCGATAGGAAGACATAACCCCCAAGCGGCGAACATAAATATACCGTGAATCCATATCCAAGAGAAGTAGAACCAACCGCTAGTTCTCGGGCTACCAACGGGACCACCGGTGAGCTCCAACACATGACCATTGATTCGACCACCGAATAAGAGGACAATCGGCGGATCGAGGCTCGCTACTGCCATTCGATGGAAGGCGATGGCGCTCGACTGAGGCGTGAGTCCAGGTACCCCGCTGGGCAGCTCCGCTGTGTAGCTCTCCCACTCATTCGTGTTGAGATCGAGGACATGAACATCAGACGGGTTTTGCTCGGTAATGCTGATGGGCTGAGCGAGATTCCCACCGTTTCCACCATACATGATTATCTTGTCGCTTCCCCAAGCAGCCAAGTCACCATATTGAATAGGTACCGGTGCATCGGATCGACGTTGCCAGTTCATCGACTGGTCGAAGGCCCAAGTATCGTAGGCCGGGCAGGGGCCACCGTGTCTGCCGCCATTGGCGCACCCACCGAGCATAACAAACTTCCCAAACTTGCTGTCCAGAGGGATCGCATTAGCAACCAAGCAACGCCCATGGGGCTCATTGATACCGTACTGGAACGTCTCCGATAGCTGAAAGAAGGCGATCATAATGCCGCATGCACAGGACTGAGAGCTACCTTTTCCCAGGACCCTCCACTAGTGGCAGAGAGCCGGAAGCGAAAGGTGTCGGAGTAACGAGTCCCAGAGCTGAACCCATGAGTAATGTAGAAATAACCATCTGGGTTCATACCGCCACCGCAACCGTACCTAATCGGCCAGCTTCTGTAGCTATGACGCGAGACGATGCTCACCTTGGCTCGAATGAGAGAGTCGATTGGTTGTCAATTCGGCGCCATTGTGGGTTCGGACCAGCATAGTCTACCAGCACCCAGAGATCGTTGAAGAAGACGGGCGCAGCATCACCAGTGGAGATGGCGAAGAGGCCCGTCGTCAAGTCATAGCCTGATGAATCTAATAGCAGGGACGAGGCGAAAGGAGCACTCTTACCGGCGATGGCATCGAACCTCGCAGCGGGAGGATTGGGTACATTGACTCTAGTCCAGGTTCGACTGTCCACGTTGAAGAACCACGTGTCTTGAAACAACGTACTTCCAGAACGACCACCAAAGGATATCAAATTTCTACCTGAAACAATGGAGAGCACTAGTGAGCTCCCAAGGTGGTGCTCAACTTACGAACTGGATCGAAACCGATACCCGGCCTGTCGCGGGCGCCAGGGCCTCCACCCTGGTCCAGCACCGTCCATCGGAAGGGGGCTGAGAGGGCTTGCCAACTGATGCAGGCTAGCAAGAGGGATAGTACGAGGGTCATTAAGAT